AGAGTTATTTACTCATCCTAAAAATTACAGGGATTCTTTGTCTTTTTGGGGGGCATAGTTTGTCGTTTGCTTATTCTGCTAATATGAATTGTATGACAATATGACTGTGATAATTCAATCATATGCTAAAGTTTCTACTCCAAAGACTGCTGGCTGCCTTAATAATTTAAAAGTATTCATCTACATGAACATCTATAAATTTTTTCTGAAACTGCCTTAATTTCCACCAGATGCTTGTGTGGCGCATCAGAATTTGTGAATCTATTGAGGTGAGGCTATTTCAGAGAGTGTGCTATATAAGGTCTAATCCTGAACAGCCAAGGCTATGAGTGGCCCTGCTAGGGTGTGTTCACTGAAATAGTCTTCCTGGTCATTTATTGATCAGTCCTGCTGAGTGGAATTGTTTGATTATCAGCATTTGAGATTTAAAATGTCTGCTGAAGATGATGGTGTCTTAGTTGATGAATTCTTTATGACAGACATTTTATACTAGGAGTAGTTTGTTTTTTAAAGCCATTCTATAGCAACTTATAGGAAGACATTGGTTTTTCTGTTTCCTGGGAACTTGTCTATTAAATCTTAAGGGCATATCAGATATTTCAGAATGAGGTAAAAAGAAGGGTCTAAAACACAACTTTAATTATTACATATTAAAGTGGTCATTCCTTTTGAGAAACACTGAAGTTTTGCCATGCTATGCAAATTATTCCTCTACCTAGTGTATAAGTACTTTGATAATGTTGAAATATTTTGAAACTTAATGTTTAAATATTTCAGATATTTCCTTTTATTGTGTTATCATGTAGTTAATCTAGCCTTCTAATTAAACTCAACCTAATAAAAATTAAAATCAGTGAAGTTAGTTTATTGAAAGAACTAATTCACTGCATTTAATACTTTGAAATCTTGATTAGACCATCAGCTTAGGTTACTGGAATTGTAGAAGATTGAAGCCATGGGATTCTAGAGTTTAGAGGGATTTTCCGGGTCTGGTTCTGTAAAAAAATGTGGCCAACTTTTGCAGAAAGACTCAAAAGGTTTCAAATGAAAATTTCTTGGTGCTATACCGGCAGTTTCTAAGTGTTAAATAATGAATGTGTTCTCCTATTTGCCATGTTATAAATGGTGAGTAGCTAGGACAGCACCCTGAAATCTGATACCCCACCCCCCGACCCCTGTACATGGGACTGCGGGGGCAGGAATAACCACAACTACAACACATGATAGGAGCTTAGAGGCCTTGAAGTCTGCTCTTCACTCTGTCGTTTTGTGCAAGTCATTTGACTCTTCAGGCTCAGATTACTCATCTATAAAATGAGTGGATTGGGCAAGGTCATTTTCAAGGTTCCTTGAAACTCTGCTGTCATGTAATTGGGATTTTCTGATTCCTGGGTAGGAGACTGGGCAGGGATTTGGGTGGCAGAGTAGTGTAGGTGGTCAAGCACTTCATACTTAGCCACATTTCCATAGTTGCATGACTCAGTCACCAGTTCAGATTGCATAACCAAAAGCTATTGTATGTTCTCACAAAAATTTTTGGTCCTCTTCTAGGAGAGCATTTTCAGTTTTATAATAGAGGTCAATAAAAATCTTATTTCATAGACTTGTGCCCTTCTGACATCACTCTGTTATTCGTTGAGGGCATTACTTCCTTGTGCAAAAAGATGTTCCAGTTTATTGTATAATTTCCTCGCCCCAGCCTTGGAGCCAGCCACTTTCCTAAGGAGTCCTGGTACCTTTGAGGGGGAATGGGGTAGGTATGCCCTTTCATAAAGGGACATTGTTGCTTCTCCCTGTTTTGGGCAGAGCTAGGAAAGGTCTGGCTTTTTTGAAGTTGTGAGGTTTCTAGTTCACCACTGCAGCTCTTCCTCTCCTTTCCGTGTTTGGTTTGTATATCCCTTCTCTCTCCATCTGTGGTTCCCAACAATACCTCTGTATTTACTTACTGCCCAAAGCTACAGTAAATACAGAATAATTTCAGAATTGTTTCACCAACACTACTACCAGCAGCAAATCTACTACATAAAATTCTAGGTTTTTTTGTAATTCTCTTTACTCTAAGAATATATTATGCTGAAGAGGTACTCTCAGAGAGGTTACTCTCTCATAACTGGTCTTGATACGATATTTTCCCTCCCCCCCTCTCCCCCTTGTGTAGTACAAGTGCTTAATAAATTTTTTTTCCTTCTGTGAGCTGTTCTTGTTCACAGTGCTTCCCTAAGTTAAATTCATTACCATTTCTCTAGGAGTCAAGTATAATCTGCCAAAGACTGAGCAAACAGCCATATCAATTTTCAAAAAGATAATATATGATATATATAACTTTATAATATATAGTTTTATATAACAATAATATATAAAGTTATATATTTATAAAACCCTAGCATATAAACCCATATGTATTAAACTCATTTTATCTATATGTTCATATAATCTTTAATTATCACTTATTTATCATTTTAAGTTCACAGAACCTAAGGTTCCTTTTTTCTGGTCTCAATTTCAGCCAGTATTTAATATTAGGATTATTAGCCCATCAGAAATTGTGGGTTTCAACTTTATTTTTCATTTTACAAATTAGAAAGCATATAAAAAACTTTTATGATTCTTTTTTACAGTTTTATCATAGACACTGAGGTATATAAGTTCTAGTTAAGCATTTTTTAAAAATCACAGGCTGATAGAACCACCACAGTGGGCTAGGTTCGGGGGTAGTAGGCTGGGGAGAGGAAAGAGGTAAGAGGGAGGCTACTGCTGGTGGAGAGAAAGAGGCGGGGCTAAATGTATATTTGAATTTAAGACAATGAAATTTGAGAAACATAGGCTGGGGAAATGAAAATTGTTAGGACCCAATATAAATGTGTTAGCTAGTCTTTCTGTTAAAACTATTTAATAAATGATTCTCCTTTCAGCTTTGGCTTGTGTGTCTGAGTGGTGAGATCATTGGCCAGAGAACCGAGGGGTCGAGAGTTCAGTTCCCAGTGGGGGGGGCGCGTACCTGGGTTGCAGGTTGGATCCAGCCAGGGCTGGGTGTGTGTGTGGGGGGGCAATCGATGTGTCTCTGTCACATCAATGTTTCTGACTCTCCCCCTCCCTCCCACTGTCTCTAAAAAAAAA